ATAAACACAATGTCATCATGTAAACAAATCCCTCTCCTCTTTTGCATTTCAAAGCCGCAAGCAATACATCTCCTCAGCCTGCTTGTGGAAGAGGGCCTCTCAACTCACCTTTGATTTGTGGCCATGTTGTTGTCTTTTTTTTCTCCGTTACCAGGAAGTAGTTGAAATGACTGATTTAACTTTGAAAAAATGAAATTTCTGTTAAGCCGGTCAAATCAGGGCCTCCCCCAGAAAGTAATAGGGCTAACAGGAAAGGGAATGGAAGAAAGCCCTGTGTTCACAGAGTTCTTGTCGTGGGGACAAATGGTTGGAAGCATGCCAATTGCAATTCATTGTGGAATGATTTAATTTCAAAGAGCTTGAAGAAAATGCAACTGAATGAATAGCCCATTCCACTTGCTCTCATCTGTAACCTGTCCTCAGATTGAGTCTCGAATTATGATGCCGGTTTCATGCCAGCTAAAATTTAGAAAGAGAACTCTTCTCTCTAGAGGGTTTCCCTGTGGGTGAAAATTTAGATTTTCCCTCTCCATTAGGGAGCATATCTGAGAAGAGATACAGGCCTTGCCATTTGAACATTTATAACCCATTTTTACAAAGCCACATTGGTTTGGCTGGTGCAGACCTCCCCTATTCTGACTTCAAATGCCTTCGTTGCCGTTTCTCTCCTCATTCATCAAGCAGCACTATAGGCCTGTTTTGCTTAATAAATCTGTTTGTCTTTGCACTCATGAGGTTTGTTTCCCCCCAGCTGGACTCTACAGCAAAAATGGGAACGTCTGTCTTGGGGCTTAGAGTTTTAATTAGACCCGACTATAGCAGACCTCTGAGAAACAACTAGGCCGGATTTCTGAATTTGATTGGCTACTCTAGCACATCTGAAAGTCTACCAAGAGGGGTAAATCTCTTTGACCCTGAAATGTATTTTGTTGGTATATAAAATGCTCGGATGAATGACTTGAATTCTCAACTATTTGAGATTTTTATGTAGTTTATCATCAGGTTTCATCACACTGAGGCTGTGTCATGATTCAGGGGCTGTTTCTTTTTAGGGATGCCCTTTGATCAACAAACGAGGCTCTACAGAGGATTAGCCAAGGAATTATTAACTTCCATTATCAGCGATCTGCATGCAGTGGATTTAAAAATTCTGAGGATAACAAAGGTATTAGTTAAAAAATAGTATTGATTTTGTTTATGTTTAAAAAAAGGTTTAATTTAACTGTCACATGAAAAACATCGAATGAAAATATGCTCTAGTGATACATTTTTATTATTCTCCTCTCTTGTGATGTTTGATTTGGTGTTAAAAAGAACAATAAACAGTTACTTTGCCCTGATGAGAAATGGCTTTCTTTACGGGATACTATTAGGGGTCAGATATTAACAGACGTGTCCTCATTGTGACTTGTATTTAAGAAATTAGTTCTGTTTACTAAGTTCAGCATTGACTGTGGCAATGGGGTGGCTCCATTCTTGTCTTTTTTTCCTCCAGCAGTAAACTCCCATCCCCGATATTACATCCTGCCTTGTATCTGAAGAAGATGAGCAATGCTCCAATGAAAGACAGACCTGTTGTGATATCAGAGGAAGTGAGATATTATTTCTCTCTATAGTTAAGTCACGGTAAAACTAAGTTAGAACTATGTCAGGGTTATATAGAATTTGTTACTGCATGCATGGTGATGTTGTAGTGAGCATGCTGTGGAAGTGATATACTGGTTACATGTTGGTAGCCACTTGTAGATTCCTGAACAGCCTCAACATAGCACTACCTAAAAATCGGCTTTGATTTTTACATCTATTAGTGAATATTTCTTCAATATTAGTCCTCCACTGTAAGTATTACTGCTGAGACTCTTGAGTTGACATCGCTGTTGCAAGCTACCTATGTAAGATGGCCCACTGGGATTGTTTTTGTCCAATTGTAATCTTTAGCCACCTAATTTATTGTTTCAGTTTTTGCCTTTTTTAACCGAAATTGTTGCAATTTACGAGTCAGTTATACAACTGTAAGAGCTTGAATTTAGCCATCCCCAGCTGTGTTGTCTTCGATCAAACATCAGAGGTGACTTTTTTTCTTTTTACTGGAATTCCTCTCACACTGATTCATTTGGAGTTTTAAGAATGCAACATTTTTGCCTTGGCAGGGGAAATACAAAGCCTTTCAGTGATGTTTTATCCACTGTCTAATTTAAAAAACAAGATAAACCCATGCCATCTCTCCTGAGGGAATTGGATGCACTTGCCATTTGGATGCCCCTTCGCTGTTTTTAACTGTGACTGTGAGTTTATATTTGCTTTGACGCATTGAGGGGATTTACCGAAAATAAAAAGAAAAAAAAGAAAATTGCATCTTTCTATTTTTTGATTAAATTATATTTTACATCTCCCTCCCATTGAATAGGTGCCTGAATCTCTCCTGTATGTATCTTTTCACTCCTCTCTTTGGCGTTGCCAAAATTGAAAACCAGTAAAAAAATCATTTCTTTGCTATACAGGAGCTAAAGAACTTACTCTTGGTGGATCCTGAAGCTAAGACAAAATGTCATACTTGATGGACAGTTTACATTTCGCCCTTTTTAAACCTTCCTTGACACAGAAATGCTTTGATTTTGAGAGCTTAAATAAAAAAAAAATGTAAACGCTTCCTACAAAAAATAACAGTTTGAAGTAGCTGAACTGGAAGTTGACTTGGGCTCTGGCTATTTATATCATCCGCTCCAGTGGTGATTGCAGATATGATCTCAATTGGAGCCATTTTTGTTATGATGAGCGCTGTCTGTGTGAATCGGATTGTCTGCCTCTTAACTCAGGCCCCTTAACTAGCAATTTTACTCATGTGCTAAGGGGATCATCTACTATTCAGCTACCATTAAAACAAATATGACATCCTATCTTTCAAGTCTAAAATGCACACAGGATACCTATTGTTGAAATAGGTCACAGGTCCCCCCATACAAGTGTCTCTACTGCCGGAACGTGCTTGAGACATGCTGTTGTTATTGCACTTGAGGGACAGAGCTGCATCGGGACGTATCTGTAGCAAACAGCTCTCTGAGAGGAACATGAGGGAGGTCGCGGCTCTTAAAAATAAGCCATGTTATGGTAGATTAGAGGACGAAGTGGCTGTTTGGATCCTCTGTTTACATTTGCTGAAGGTGTTGACACAGATTGGTGAGAACAGAAAAGGTAATAGGATAACTAAAGAGTAAAAACGAATCCAGTGTGTTTATGTCTGACTGTCAGTAAGACATAAAGTCCAGGATCAGCTCCTTCATATCTGTCTGATAATGATGAATGTCAGAGATCAATAGCTGAGGAAATGTTGCCTTTGTTGCCCACCAGTTTTTTCCTTTAGTTCTATGTTTGTGTCTCCTCTCTGCTAATATTCAACAAGGGTCACATTAAAGGAGTTCTTAAAAACTGATGATTTATATAAGACAAACTTCGTGTAAACTAAGGTCTTTGACATATAGCTATCATCTCTCACCTGATATAAATGCACAATATCAAAAGATATGCAACCTCAGCTTTGGATTATTTGCTTTTGCATTCAGAGTGGTGTTGCTGTGGTGTGTCTGCTAACAGAAAGTGCCCCAAATTTCAATGGCTGTCATTTTGTCCATTGCCAGTTGAATTGGAGAGGCTATTCTATGTGTTTGCACACCGAACTGGCTGATTTTTCAAAAGCGACAAAACAAATTGAAATGCTGAAGTAGCAAATATATCCATCAGAACAGCATACAATTTTAGCTCCAAACCAAGTCTGATTGATGCTTTGATAGCTGTAGAGGCAGGTTTGTGTTTTATTTTTGTTTGTGAAATCACACATTTTTTCCTCGCTGTGAAATGGATGGCCAATGGTGACCAAAAAACAAATAGAGGCTAAAAATGTCAAAGGACAATTCTAATACTCGCTTTTTATCACCACGCCAGGGAGACAGGTAAAGGGATGTGACAGGGGTTGAAGTCAGACCTGCAGGAAGCCTTTGAGGAGCTATCTTACAGGGTGTCTGTCTGACTGCTTAATCTGTGGGGATAACTCAATCCAAGGAATGCCACCATATTTGACCGTGTCCAGGGCATCACAGAATGAAATAGACTGATGATTGTAAAGCAGAAACCACTGAGGCTCACTTGGTTCAAAGTGACTTTATATTTTTAAACCGGCCTGTGTTTGTTAACTCAAAGGGCCATAATGACTGTCCATTACAGCTGTCCTGTAAAATGAAAGCCTACGTTCACCATGACTAACAAGATTATTTGTTCACAATGATTTCAGGACCCTTGGTGGTCATTTTCTGAAAGTACGAGCTACACAGCTGCACACTGGCAATCAGTCAAAGAAAGAAATTGACTTTGGAGAGTTTCCAGCTGTAATGTTGGATTAGTATTGATCACTCCCACTGTGCATCGGAACACTGTTGTTAAAAACGCAGCTGGTTCAGTATGCTGAAATGAAGGAAATAGTGGTGTTTAATAGGTATTCTGTGCCTCTGACAGTGCACTGAAGTCGCTGTGATGTGATTTCACAATGGTCCCCAATGGTTCTGGGAAATGCATCAGTTATAGAAAACATGTTATCTGTTAACTGCTATCTCCTCGATTGGGCAGGTTTGATTCGAGATTCAAGAATTTTATTTTCTCAAACACAACTATACAAAGTATAACATCCAGTGAAATGTATGCTGTACCTGTTCCACACTGAAACAATAATGACAATAGTAATGTCAAAAGATTTCAATACAGTAAAATTTTATCAAAAGTAAAGGACATATATTCATATAGCCTACAGGTGAACGTGGACAGTCGTATTGGCATCAAGTCTATGGTTCCAGGTTCAGCAGTCAGACAGCCTGGGGGTGGAAGCTCCCCCTGATCCTCCATGTATTTGCCTTCAGGTAGCGGTCACACCACCCTGAAAGCAGCACAGAGATCAGTGGATGGGCTCACTCGCAATCTTCCCGACCTCCAACCTGCATCGTTTGTTGTATATGTCATGCGGGTTTGGGAGGTTGGTTCTGATGGTGCCTCCTCAGGCCCAAAAAGTCCAGCTGGGTGCTGCTGCACATCCAGATGGCAATGCTCCCAGGAAGAACTCTTTCAATGGTGCAGGTGTAAAAGTTCCTGAGCACCGTGAGAGGGAGCTTGAAGTCCCTCAGACTTCTGAGGGAGAGGAGACACTGTCGAGCTGTCTTTACCAAGGTTTTGATTTGACAGGACCACATCAGGTCCATTGTGATGTTGGCACCCAGGCACTTGATGCCCTCCACTCTCTCCATCTGGGTATGACTGATCCTGAGTGGATGGTATGCCATCTGCTTCTTCTTGTACTCAACAGTCAGCTCCTTGGTCTTACTGATGTTCTGGAGGTTGTCTCTGAACCAATCCTCCAGGTGGGTCATCTCCCTCAAGTACTCCTCCGCGTTGTTGTTGGAGGTCAGACCAATAACCACTGCTCTTTCATCAAACTTAATGATTGGTGTGCGGTGAGTACAGCAGAGGGCTCAGCACACATCCCTGGAGGACACAGATAGTGCATACAGAGGTGCATACAGGTGCATACAGAGGACAGATGATTTCCCACTTGATGCCTCCTGTTATCTGCTAGGGAAGAAGCTGTAGACCTTCCTACAGTGGGAGGACATTAGTCTGAGGTCCTGCAGCTTTATGACCAGTCTGGAGGAGATTATGGTGTTGAATAGCACCGTTCATTCATAAGTCCCCTTCCTAGAGTCCAGGTGCACCAGCACTGTGTCAAGGAAGTCATTTATGGTGTCATCTGTGGATCTTCACTGATCTTCGATCTGACCAGTCTTTAAAAACATTTCATCCCCATGGTGGTAAGGCCTATGATCCACTAGTGATTAAGACAGCTGGCCTTAGCTTTCTTGGGGAAAGAAACTGTTACAGACTGTTAAAAGCATCTGCAAGTGGTATACTGGGAGAGCAAGGGGGTTGAATATTTCTTTAAACACTGGTGTAAGCTGGTTGGCATGGGTTTTCGGGACAATGGTGGTTATGCCATCCTTGGTGTTCATGTGCTGAAACATCAGCCTCTTGTCGGCCTCTGTCACAGAGTCCGTCTCTGCTGGAAGCTTCGAAGCACGCACTAAAGTTGTTAGCTTTGTCGGCCAGAGAGATGTTAGCAGTAACTATAGACATTTGCTTTGCTTTATGGTCCGTCACTAAGCTCAATCCCTGCCAGTCCCCTGATGCCCCTCTGCCGCTGGTGTGACTCCAGCTTCTCCTCATACCTCTGTTTGGCCTCCCTCAGGATTCTGTGGACACTATACTTGGTGGCCCCGTTCTGTCCCGTGTCTCCAATAGCACTGAACAAGTTGTTAATGCTATGCAAACTTTCCAACAACAATGTTTTTTACTGATAAGATTGTCTACACAACAGTACTGCAGTTGTGTAATGTGGAGTGTAATACAGGCTAAATATTTTGCAGTACATTGGCATACTATCTTATCCAATGCATAGACATTTTGGTTGTGTTGGACCTTTTGGAATACGGATAGTATAGTATAATAGAAAAGCTGACATTTTATTCATCACCAATGGGGTTAAATTCGATTCATATAGAGTACATTAAATTGTTTTAGGGTGATAAGAATATTGATCCAGAGAACCAAACCAGTCAAAACAACAACAGATGAATGGACAAAAAAAGTTTCAATATTTCCATTCAACTGTAAACAATAAGTATTGATGGGTGAATGGTCTAGGGGTACCCAAAGTAAGCTTCTCAAGGGTCAATGTGCTGTGGGTGTTAGAAGTTTCCCTTCTTTCAACACACCGGATTTGCATCAATGGGCCATTAAAAGGCTTGTACAGAACTTTTGACTTATTTTTTCTGTGATATCTAAACTTCTCAAATATTTTAGGCAATGGAAAAAAAAAAGAAACAAATAAATAATTAAACAAGTTAAATGCACTTTAACGGGGGGTGGTCACGTGGTCCGGTCCAAGATGGAGGCTTGAGACTTTTCTCCGCTCCAGGCTTAAAATATTCCTTTAACTTCCTTCAGTTAAACACGTCATTGTCGACTGTGAAACACTTCGGGAATGCCTAGACAGCATCGTGAAAAAGATTTTCCCATTTTTATCCCGCCGGGCTCTTCCGCCAAGAAGAAATCCGTTCAGAAGGAGCCAAGTCAAGCTGAAGCTAACGCTAGCGTCCCAGAGCTAACCAACGAAACAACTATGGAGCTGGTCTTATCCGAGGTAAAGTCGTTGGCCTCCCGGATGAAAGATATGGATGCATCAATCGGTACTCGACTCGATACTATTGATGTCGCACTGGGCGACTTAAAAGCCTCTGTCGGCTCGGTGGAGAGTTCCTTATCGCTGCTCTCTAGTAGAGCGGCAGACTTGGAAAAACGCATGGAGGAGGCTGAGGTGAGAATCTCCGGGACTGAGGACGACCTCGGTGCCCACGGGCCAAGCATAGCCGCCATGGAAAAGTTGGTGAAACATCTGCAGCTAAAAATAGATGACTTGGAGAACCGTGGTCGGCGTAAAAATTTAAAAATTGTCAACTTACCAGAGAAAGTAGAGGGCGACACCCCGCTTGCGGACTTTCTCCAAAAAAAGTTGCCGACACTGGTCGGTTTACCGGCTGATCATCCAGCGTTGGAGATCGAACGGGCCCATCGGGCTCTAGCTCCCGCTCCGGCCCCTGACAAGCCACCACGGAGTATCCTGGTTCGTTTTCTGCGTTACTCGCACAGAGAGGCTGTGCTTAATGCAGCCAAGAAGAAGCGCGACATCAACCATGGCGGCTCTCAACTGAGATTCTACCCTGATCTGTCCGCGGAGGTCCTAAGGAGGAGGCGAGAATTCGGCGCTGTGGCGAAGGCTCTGATCAGCTGCGATGAGTACCGTGGATTTGCGTACCCGGCTCGCCTCCGATGCCTTCACGAGGGGCGAATCCGTTTTTTCGATACGCCTGAGACTGCCGCTGCATTTCTGGACACTCTTAAATGAGGTATTATTTCTAATATGCTTTCTTTTTCCCTGATTTGTTTATAAAAGATGGAGGAGGACAGACTTTATATCCACACTGGGACCCATATAACATTATTTTTTCCTTCCTTTTAAATTGACTATGTTGGAGCGGTTCTCAGCGTGGCTCATTACTTTTGCCTGGACCACGGATGATGTTTTGAGCGTCCGGTTGTTGCTGTGATCGAACTGTAAAAATCGAGAGCTATATGCCGTTTGGAAATAACAGTGACATCTTTTGGGGTTCTTTTTTTCTGTCATTTGGGGATAGGATGGGGGAGGGTGAATGCTGCTGTTTGCAGATTCAGTATTTTATTTATTTTAGTTTGTTGGGGGTTAAATGTCAGGAGCCTAAATATGTCCTTTCTCTTCTTTATACATGCATGAATGCCTATATACAGATTAATCTATTCAAATATGTCATTGGGTGTTTAAGAGCTGTTTTTTGCCCTTACAGTTTGTATGTCTGGTTCTCTTAAGATTGTTACCTGGAATGTACAGGGACTGGGTCATGTGATTAAGAGGAAGAAGGTTTTGACTCATTTGAAAAAAAAAAAAACTTGATATAGCACTATTACAGGAAACTAAGTTATCTGTTACAGAACATTTGAAACTTAAAAGGGACTGGGTAGGTAGTGTATATTTTTCCTCCCATTCACAAAATAACAGGGGTACAGCCATTCTTATACACAAGAATCTTCCTTTTATTCTGGAGCATGAGGAGAAGGATTCAGAGGGCAGATTTATCTTAATTAAGGGCTCAATCCATGGACAACATATAACTATTCTCAATGTATATGCTCCTAATGATGATTCGCCTCAATTTATGTTACAAATGATCTTATTGTTTAACCATCATCGTAAGGAAACCAGTTTTTTAGCTGGTGACTTTAACTGTACAATGAATGCATCTTTGGATAGGTCCTCCTCTGCAAAATTGCCAAACCCGAAAGCTTCAGCTGTCTTAAAAAACCTATGCACTGATACTGGTTTGATAGATATTTGGCGACATTTAAATCCCAAAACAAGGGACTATACATTTTATTCACATCCCCATAACACTTATTCCAGATTGGATTATTTTTTTATCCCGAAGTCATTTTTACATTCTGTTCGAAGCTGTAACATAGACCCCATAATTTTGTCAGACCATGCACCAGTTTTTCTAGATGTTGATCTATTATTTCGTATCCCTAGAACATTCACTTGGAAATTCAATACATCCTTGTTAGATAATAATTCCTTCTGCAACTTTGTTCGGTGTAACCTATCGCAGTTCTGGCTCGACAACAAAAATTCTCCCGTATCTTCAGGTATAATCTGGGATGCAGCAAAAGCCACTTTACGCGGTCATCTTATATCTTACTGCTCTCACCAAAAAGCAGTTCTCGCAAAGAGGAGAAACAACCTCGAAAAAGAGGTGATCCGACTGGAGCAATTACACAAACAATCACCAACATTGTCAAATTTGAAGGCACTAACGGCTGTTAAATCTGAACTTAATATAGACTACACCCGTCAAATTCAGAAATAGTATTTCTGTTTATACTAAACAGAAATACTATGAATTTGGAAATAAATCCAGTCGCATGCTTTCCCATTTATTAAAAAACCATTTTTATATGTCTTTATATGATACGGACATGGCTGACCCGGAAGATATCTCCTCCTATCTGAGCAGCATATCTCTACCTTCCGTCACGGAAGAAGATCGTGCCTTTTTAGATGCTGCTATCACTCCGGAGGAAGTTTGGGCTGCAATTAAATCTATGCCAAACAAAAAATGTCCTGGACCCGATGGATTTCCATTGGAATTTTTTAAGCTATTTTGGCCAGAGATTCAACCAATGTTCATGCCTGCTGTTAATGACATTTTGAGAAACGGCATCCCCCCCTCATGGAGACATGCCTCCATCAGTCTTCTTCTAAAAGAAGGTAAAAGTCCCCTGGACTGTTCCTCCTTTAGGCCTATTAGTTTGCTTAACGTTGATTATAAAATTGTGGCAAAAGTTTTGGCCCGGAGATTGGAAAACATCCTTCCTAAAATTATAAATCCAGATCAGGCAGGGTTTATAAAAATGAGATATGGCACAGACAATATACGACGCGTTCTTAATGTTGTTCAGTACCTTAATATTCACAAAGAGCCAGCAGTAATTGTTTCCCTCGATGCCGAGAAGGCTTTTGACCGAGTTGAATGGCAGTTTCTTTTTCAGGTGTTACATAAATTCGGTCTGGGGCCAAATTTTATCAATCTGGTTAAAAGCTTTTATTCAGACCCAACAGCCTCAGTTAACACAAATGGTTTGATGTCTGAGCCCTTCAAGATTCATAGGGGTTGCAGGCAGGGGTGCCCCCTTTCACCCTTATTGTTTACTTTGTTTATTGAACCCCTGGCTGAAATTATCAGGACTAACCCGGATGTATCTGGAATCAATATAGGCGGTAGAAACCATATAATTTAATTATTCACAGATGACGTTCTTTTGTATATGTGTGATCCTGAGAAATCAATTCCAGCTGTCCTGGAATCTATGGCTACATTCAGTGCTTTATCAGGATATAAAATCAACTTAGGAAAATCTGTCGCAACCCCTTTCAGCATCCCCTCTGAAAGGTTTGTGCAATCTCCTTTTCAAATGTCTATCAGAGGCTTCAAGTATCTGGGTATTTTTGTTACACCTGATCTGAATAATCTTTTTGAAACTAATTACTCACCTTTAATTCAGAAGATAAAAGATGATTTAATAAAATGGGCCCCCCTGCCAACTTCCTTCTTAGGGAGAATCAATATTATAAAAATGAACATTCTTCCGCGACTGAACTATTTATATCAAAATCTTCCCTGCTACTTATCCCCTGCACACTTCAAATTACTAAATTCTCATTTATCTCGCTTTGTCTGGAACTACAAACACCCAAGAGTCAAGTTTTCTATATTAACTAAGCTAAAACATCTTGGAGGTTTGTCGTTACCATCCCTGCAGCTTTATTATTGGTCAGCACAACTTAAAATCATATCAAATTGGTTTATGAATTGAAAGAACGCTTTATGGTTAGATCTGGAGTCACAATCTTGTCTCCCCAGCAAACTTAATTCTCTTTTTTTTATAAGTGGCATAGACCAAATGGCTCATCTCAGAAGTAGCTTCATTGTTTATAATACTTTGCTTGCCTGGCGAGATGTGAGGAAATATCTAAATATCTCTCCCATCATTTCTTCCTGGTCATCGTTAACTTTGAACCCAGATTTACCGGCAGAGATTAGAAGCATTGGCTTGTCTGAATGGTCATCTCGGGGACTGTCAAATATTATGGACATGTTGGAC